AGCAAAGAGTTCAGTGTATGTAAGAGCCTGGCCTTACCAAAATTGCATAATGGTAAACTGTTACTGTTATCAAATAATAATAAATTCACACATACACACACAAAATTATAAATAAAACATTATTAGAAAAAATTCAGTTTATCAAAGAATATTTAACAGGGAGCAGTGACAGACAAAACCAGGACCTCAGTTCATTCTACATTGCATCAATTTCTTAAACAGCTGTGTTAAGTAGAAAATCATAATTATTATGGTGATTAAACATGCTAACATGCCCATAGGACTACTGAGAATCTTCCAGAGTACAAATGAAGCCACTTTTTAAATCATAGCCAGTTTAAACCAGCTTTGGAAGATTAATGCACCAAGTCTCCCTTTCTATGGAAATAGATTCCCTATCTATGAATGAATGTCAGTACAAAGTAACACCAGTCAAAAATACAAACTAAGTCCTCCCCGGTGGCGCAGCGGTTGAGCGCTGGGTTGCGAAGCTGCCTGCAGCCTCTGCAGCGCTGGTTTGATCCCCGGCCTCCGGGCGAGGGTCCCAATTGGCACGCAGACCTCTCCTGCTGCCCGCTGCTGCTCCCCTCAGCAGTGTACTTCATCCGTCTGCCTGTTCTGCTCTGGCTCTGGTGAATTCTCTCACCCTCCCGTGCTTCTGACTGTACCCAGTGCTTGTATAAATAAATAAATAAATATTTAAAATACAAACTAAACTTATTTAAATCTCTTGATGATAAATAATGAGCTTCTTTTTTAAAAGAGCTGTAGACAAGAAACAAACGAACCTTTATCAAAATTCTGGGCTGGTAGTTCTATCTCAAAACTGGCAATTTTAAATTACCCAAAACACAAACTTTATAATATACAAAATCACAATAAAATAAACAAGTCTAATCATGTTATAAATTAGTGGACTTTACGCTAAATCCCAACAATCCACATTAGGAGAACCAACAACATATTTCAAATGAAGTTTCCCCATCCTGATTTATCATACAGCCTAGGACATACATCCATATTTTAAAGATCTGCTAATTTAAGAAGAAATTAATCAATCATAAAATATTAATCACTGTGCCAATTTCTTCTACATTACAAAATGCAAACCGTTCAGTCTGTTTTTGTTAAAGGAAATTAAACTTTTTAAAATGACAAACCATAGATATATAATACAGAAACTATATTTAGGCTAGGATATATACTATTCAGTATCAGGATTACAACTATTTGATTTTTAAAACATACTCCAAAGCTTCTGTATCCAATAAATCTTAATGCAACTTTCCTGAAAGTAGACCTACTCCAATGGTGGTATCATTTTGGCTGAACACTTTAGAAGCCTGTAGCATGTATTTTGTCAAATATGATTAATTGCAGCAAAATTAAAATTCTCTGAGAACAGACTTGACTTATGGGAAAAGACAAGTGTCACTGAGAATAACATCTGGGAAATACATCAAGCTAAATAAACTTTCAGTTAAAAAAAAAAAAAAGAGGGACTGAATATAAGGTAGTAAGCCTTTCTTTTAAACTTATAAAAACAACATACCTAAATCATACATAGTACTCTATACCAACATTATCTCGACAAAAAAAAATTCAATTAACAAAAATTACAAAAGCATATTTAAAAATGAGAATTCCAAGCTTTTTAGACAGCAATATTACTTCTGTATCTTACAATCAAGAAGACTATATTCTTTTTACCTTGATCACCACTGGTTGTTTAGTTCTCCAAATTTTAAACAATGATTGAATAAGAGGTCATAAGGGCACTTCATATATTTTATCTCATTTAATCCATATAACATATGGATTGCATAGTAATTTTCACCATTTCCAGGTAAAGACACTAAGTGAGAGTGCTTTAATTACTTATCCAATTTACACAGGTAAGGGCTAGAACATCAGTTGCTTCATTGTCAGAATTTACATATACATACATATATACGAGATATAAAACATCATATATCTCACTAGGTTTTTGACCTATACTTTCTGACTCTCCCTATTAGTCTCTTCCTGTAATAACTGCTACATATGGATATTTTAGCATTTGCCCCATAATGTTATGGACATTTACTTGTCAACATTCCCTAGTCAATTACTAGCTTACAGAAGAACAGACCATACCTTGTTTCTCTGTATACCTGGCACACCCACATAAATATCTTGTAAGTAGCTTAACTGTGATTAACTGGGATGCTGCCTTTTACATCTGCTCATGGGTGGTAAATATCAGACCACAAGCCATCCCTTTAGCTTCAAGAAACTCAACAACCCCCATCACAATTAGGCAAGGTTCAGGAACAACGAATACTTAATGATCCACTTCAGTTTGTAAGGCTGTTTTTAAAATCTTATACAGAAACACTAAATAAACTATGTGATGCACAGGAATTTTTTTTATATTTAAGAAAGTTACATCTGCACTCACATCAGTCTACCTCCAATAGTTCATTACAGATTATAAAAAACTAAAGTATAGGACAACATCATATTCATAGTATATATAAAAACAAAGGGGAAATGTCAGGCAATAAAAATCACCAGCAGCATCAAATCAACTTTTACAAGAGGCTACCTTTTCATTATAATAGACCTACAAAGTCCTGAGGGACAGGACTATCTACATGCATATACAACCTATATCCATTCCTACACAAGAGATTAATATAACAAGGTTATTATTAATGGCATTTTTAAGAATGTTACAGTATAATTATAAAATGACACAGGTTAATATTTAAGGAAACTTCTGGTCTCTCAAGAAGACTGAATATTTACAAAATTAAGTTTGTTTTGTTAAACATTAAAGGTCTTAAAGAAAAAGGCAAAAATACAGATACTAAAATTATTGAATTACTGATACTTTTTATTCTTTTGAGGGACCTTTTACCAAATAAATGTTAACGTGTGTGGTTTGTTATCAGCTATCTTTCCAGTTCTAAAAACTGATTTATGAGTCCTTTCTAGTGGTATTTACCTTTCTTTTTCCACCATCCACCTTTACCTCGAAAACTGTTTCTGAGGGTGTTTTTTAATCTTTCAAGATAAGGGAATAAATTCAAATGTTACAAACTTTTAAATGAAGAGTTGAAATTACAGCATCATATGACTACCCCAACTCTTATTAGAGTAATATTAGTCTTCTAGACCAACAACCTAATTCTTAGAATCAGAAAATACAGGAATTTCAATGTTCCAAGAAAAGTTAGTAATAATTAAGTCATCCTCGCAACTCAGGAAATACACAGCAAGGAACTGCGTTCTATGCAAATACTGACAACACATGCATCCAGTAATATCTACCACCCAGGGACAAGGAAAACACAAAAAGAGCTCAAGGAGCAAATGCACAAAGAGTAAGAAACACAGGAAGAAAGTGACATACATTTAGAGATGAAAAGGAATCAGAACTCAGTCAAACACATGATAGATCAGTGATCTATACAGAAAGTAGTCTCAGGTGGTAAAAGATGAGACCACCATGGGAGATGAGTGGGATGCAAGGAGACAAGAGGTGAAGTGAGCAGAGGTCAGAGATAAAACAGGCAGAGCCGGACATGACGGAACCCGAATTTACAAGAGATGACAAGACTGGAGGTGGCAGACTAGAATGGAGCCACACCCAAGGAAATAGAGGGTAAAGGGAATACATACATTTTCAATGAAAGACTGAATCATGGTAAAAGTAGGACGTAAGCAAAATACAAAGACATGAAAAAAGACAGTCTGGATAGATGAGAGAACAGCAAAGGGAGACCAGCTGATAAGCACATAAGCAAAAACAGGAAAAAAGGATGAACTGAAAGAGGCCTACTAGAAAAGGGGATATTAAATAAAACAAATGGTTTCTGGAATCTTTATTACATTAAATATAAAATTCTGTTGCTTTGCTTTATATTCCAATTGGGTAAAACTTGACTCATAAGAAAAAAGATTTCCTAAGTTTGCAGAGGAGAAAATTAATGCTGAAGCCAACGGACTTTGTCATAGAAAACAATAAAATTTACTTTTGTTAGTCAACCGTGTTAGCTCTAATTCACAAACTAATTTTCAAACCTACATCCTGTACATACACATTGATGACCTTAATGACCAACTGCTCCATTTGTTAATTACAAATGCCTTCTCAGTGTAGGGTGTGCATGCTCGCGTGCCTTCTTAGGAGCATCTGAGAAATCCCTGCTTCTCTACTGCCTCCCCCCAAAAGGAAAGGGCAGAGTAAGAAGATAACATTTATACCAATATCACTAAGAAGTAGTCTGATAGAGATTGAAAATAACTGTTAAATAAATTTTTACCATATATATTACTCTGGTCTCCTAGATAAGTGAAAACAAAACATAAGAAATCATCCTTCATTTCCATCTAGGAACAGGAGAGAAAAACAAAACAGTGAACAAGAGCTTAAAAAGAAGAGCAACTCTGAAAAAGAATGGAAGTTATTCTATTCTTGATCCCAGAAAAGAATCCATGATAGAAGAGTAATCATATCAAAGGTCTTTTTGTGATGATACAATTCCTATTTTTAAGCTGAAAGAATATGGGCATCTGATCTTCAGTGCCCAAAAAATTGTGCAAGAGAGTAGGCATATACAAAGGCTGGAAGTAGAGAAAGGAAGATGAATCTAAAGCTGCAAAGATTGTGAAACAAGCAGCATGATGTCATTAAGAAGAAGCAATTCACCAGCATCCTACACCTTTAGTAATTATTCAGTGAAAGTCAATTTCCGGGGCCAACACCCCAAAAAATTATTCCTATTTTTCCTACTATTTTTCTATCCATACAGAATAAAACTTTGATCAGATTATCAGCTACTGCAGTAGAGGAAATTAATTCAAACATTATACACAAAAGCAGATGGTTAACAAACATAATGTAAAAAATACATTAAAAAATATGCTAGAGTCTTGTCACTCATTTTCAGAAATATCTTCGTTCAGCTGCTCGGAAATTCTAAATGGTATTAGGGTCGCTTCTTGAAATTCACCTTTTCTTCAGTTTTTTTTACCATTCTTCCATGAATATCTTATTGAGTCACTTGGTTAGATAGTCCATTCACAGGCATCTGACACATTATTTTCTTCTGGAAATGGCTGCTCCAGGGGTTTTAGGAGACTTCTTGAAGGAACAAGCCTGCTTTTTTGGTCTCTACTGAGGACATGCTGAAACTGGGAATCTCTCTCATAAGCAAAGATGACAAGGGAGTTAAATTGTGCTGCTTCCCAGGTAAGACACCTTGAAAGAAGAAAAAAATTAAAAATCAATCAGATCTCAAAAAAAACCTTGAATAAAGAAGTAAAAAATACAGTTACATTTAAGCTAAAACTGGAAAATAAGTAATTTTTCAAATAAATTAAATATTAAAAATAAGTAATCTTTCACTTTGGCTTTAAATATTCTATAGATTCAAAAAAAATTTTAGGGCATTACAGGGTGTACAAAAAAAAGACAATGCAAATATCAACAGTTCCTGAAATTAATAAAAAAACATCAGTTGAAACTGTAAGGAAATTCTGGTGACTGACATTCTGATCTTTACCAAGTCCAAGATAGAAAACAGGCTTTGAGAAACACTATTGCTCTACATTCATCTCTTATTTGGTAATGGCCTGAACAAGCTGGCTTATATTCAGCTATGAAATGAGCTGCTAAATTGATGACCTGGAAAATTTCATCCAGCCATAAAATTCTGAAATTAGATATTACCTGGTGGTTAAAATCTTGGTACCACTGAATCAGCTGTTGGCAAATCATCTGACTTAGCCCTGATTTTCATATCTATAAAACACAACTCTGGGTCCTCTTACAGAGGGAGGAGGACACTAGAATCACATGAGCACAGTCTAAAATACAGGTGTCCCAGGTCCAGCTCCAGCTCGAAGATATAGCAAATCTCTAGGTTAGGTTAAGACACTTGTTACTTTAAATATAAATCAGAGTATACCCCTTAAAAAGCCACCACACTCGGTCATGGTGAGGATCAGATTTATAGCTCTAAGATTCCTAATGGTATAGCAGAGATTTCATTGAATTATCCCATCTTAACAGGCTTAAAATAAATGATTCAGTGCATTTTTCTTTTTTTTTTCCTAAATGACTCCCTTCAGAGAAGAGTTTGAAATTAAGATAAAGTTAATATGTGCATCAAGTAAACACTTTAATATAGATTATTTTAACTCATATTTTCTAAACTGTTTCCTCAGATATTTAAATAAAACATAACTATAGGGCAATATGCATAATTTTAATTTGCTTCTATGACAGGCCACCCTAAAATATGTGGTGATGTTAAAATGACAGCAACACATGTCATTTCTTCACTGACTCAAATTGTAAAGCTCCCCCCAAGTCAAATGACACGATCCTACTTAGCAGAAACAATGACTAATAAGAATACTATACCTGCTGAGCGTGTGTCCTCCTCGGCTGCTCTGACCAGGTTTGTGCTATGCTTCTTCAAGGACACGTCTTCCTGGACAGTGGTGTGATGATATATTTATATATATATACATATACACACACTCCCCTATCTGTGGAGTCATTTTGATTCAGTAACTCTGTTGATGCCCAAAACCCTCCAAATAATGTTGTCCCAACAAAAGGGATATACAACTGGGCTTTCAGAGAATACTACTTTTCTTCATCTTGCTGGAGCTTCCTTGGAGGCCCTCATCAAGTTCCACATGGCTTCAAAGACTTCATTCCAGGTTTGTCACCAAATCAAAGGAACAATTTTACGTTTAGTCCCCATCAAAGAAATATTACTTGCATTGAAGAAGTCTCCTGGCCCCAATATTGTTTTCTACTGCCCAAGACAAGCTGAAAAAGTGATCAAGATTCTACATAAGGACAAAGCAAATGGAAGTGCACGGAAAACCTTCAGTGACACCCACATTCTGGCAAATTACCACCAACAAGGGTTTATATCTAGTACTTAAAAAAGAAAAGGGGTAAGATATCAAGTGTCACTCAGTATTATTTAAATTGGCATAAGGTTTTTTCACACTCAATTAGTAACTTCAACAGTCAATGCTCCTACGTCCTGGTGAATAATTGTCCCTGAATATGATACATACAAAAAGTTGTAGTCCTCACTCAGCTTTAAGATCCAAAATTCAAGTTTCTCTCCCTTTGCCTTTACTCAAACACAGCGTCCCCTCAACCATTTCATTATCAACCTTTTCTGTCTGGAAAATTCATATTTATTTTGGCAGTTCAGAATCACTGCAATCTTTTATGCTACTCTGAAATTTGAAGTAAGGGCACCCTTTATAGGTGAGAAAGCAGTGCTGTAATATCTTCTCTTCTGTCTCCTATAAAATTCCCCAGAGGAATCGACTGACTCAGGAGCCACACTGCCTGGGTCCACATTCAATCTTCCTTTTTTACTTATATTGTGATCTTGTGCAAGTATCCTAATTACCTTGCTGTGCCTCAATTTCTGCATTTGAAAAAAAAAAAGGGTTTTTAATTGTACCTAGTTCAAAGGGTTATTGTGAGATCCAAATAAGTTAATGTTTATAAGCGTCTGGCACATTTTAAGCACTACATAAATGTTAGTTATTACTATTGCTTCATTCTCAAAAACAGTACTCTATAAAAATATATTCCTTGTTGTCACATAGCCTGTATTTTTTGGTTGGGGAAACAAAACACATGAAACATTTATGTAACAATATAAATCCATGAAAGATAAAACGCAATAGCTAACATAGTTAAGATTCAAAGGGCTGCAGACTGTGGAGAAAGTAAGGCTGGAATGGCCCTGCCCCAAAAGGTAAGTGGAATCTTCACTGGTAGAAAAATTAGAAAAGATTCCAGTGTATTTTCTGTTCATTCCACTGAGCACCTTCCATATGCCAGGCTCTGTCCTAGGCTTTGGGGACATAACAAAGAATCAAGCAAAAAAGATCCCTGTACTCCGGAAGCTTAAAGGGCACTCTATAGAGAGCCAAGTGTTGAAGTAAGGAACAAGAAAGGCTTGTCTTCTTATCTTATGAAACACAACATCACTTAAATGACTTACGCACAGGAGCCAGAGTTGGCATTAGGGTTACTCTGGTTCTCCAACAATGACAAACATACAGAAGTGGTTCTAATGAAAAATTCCGTAACTTTTCAACTTACTGTATTCTAAATATGTCATTTATAAAGCAGATTAAAGAGGTAGTCTCCATATTTCTGAAAGCAAATGAGATTTATAAACAGTCAATTTTACTGGAATGGTTTTCATAATAGATACCTGTTTTGATCAATTGAAAGTCTATTAATGGTATGATTGTATGCTCCTTTTCCCTTCTTCATCCACTAGTGCCTAAAGATGCATGAGGTGGCAAGAATCAGTATTCATTCCAAAAGAAAACACATGCGTCTTTTTCTTCTTATAGCCTTCCTTAGTGGACAACTCTCTACTCATTTCCTCCTCCAAAAGGATGCCTTTAGGTAAAGAAACCTTTTTATAAATACTGACTGGCAGAGCATTCTCAACCTTTTCCTCTCCACTAGAATCAGAAGATAGGTTAAGTCCTATAGGCACCAATCATAAATGAGTCACATTTCCAAGCACTTCCTTCATCCCCTCCAGTGTTTTCAACTCCTCCTACTCTCACAAGATGCAAAATGTTAGACCCCACCATTACTTTCATCGTTATGCCTATATAAATCATTAAATTCCACTTTTGAAGACACAATCAAAATACTTATCAAGGAAGTCAAAACTACTTAATAAAATCCAATTCAAAACTTAGGATCTTAATGCAGAGTAATGAACTTGAAACCATATGTTTAAGATAAAACCAAACTGAAAAAATAGGCAGAGCCCCTACAATGTCGATAATCTAGCATTCATATGGCAGACTCATCAACAAGGTAATATAAACTCCACTGTTTTTCATTTCCTTGTTTTCACACTGGGAATTAGTCTTCATTTTTCATGAGGTAATTGGTTTACCCTTAGTCAGGAACAGCACTTAGAAACTACAAACAGAAAGGGGGGCCTTTCAGAAGGAGCCCTTAAGACTCCCTACATTACCTTTTTCCAGTGTTCTAGCATAGCCTTATTTATTGGGTGACAGCGTTAAGTAATGGAAACTAGGATAAACAAGACACAAGGATGTGGAAATGACTAAATACCCAGCTAATTACAGTATTATGCATTTGTAAAGCCATCTTCCAACTTCAAAAAACACATTAATTTATGCCCTGGGTCGTTTTATAGGCCAACACCCTTATTTCACAAAAGCAGAAACATAAATATTTAATGTACACATTCCACATTTGGACACATTTAAATCAAGCAGGTATTCAAGTATTTTTTAGCAACCTATGCTTTATGCAAAAAGCTATCCCTTAAGATTGAGATAAATCATGTAGATCATTTGGCATAGGCTTGGCAAACAATCACTGTTCAACATTGCTCATTATTACTGCTCCTAATTTTCCAACTTTAGAGTCAAAGTAAATGGGTATAAAATTATGATTATGTGTATATCATACACACGAACCAACAGGTATTAATACTTTAAACAGTATGTTATCGTACCAAGTACTGCTTTTCATCTAGACAAAGAAGAATTTACAGTAATTGCAACGAAAACTTGCGACGGGATAGAGTATTAAAAATCAGCTCTCATCACTGCTTATCAATTAAGAATACAACCTCCACAAGGTCTAGTAGGAATTTTAAAGAGCAGTCAGCTGAGCCTAGAGAACCAGCTCCAACTGAATAGTTCAGCTGTCCAGCACGTGCACAAGTGTCCGTTTCTTTGCAAGACCACATCGCCCGCTGAAATCAGATCACTTCAATGTTGAAAACCTACATAAATCCACTATGTGTCTCGTGCTAGAAAAACCCATTTTTCGAGTCCTTACACCAATAATGAGGGAAAAAAAAAAAAATCCCAGAGTCGCTTAAACCGACAATATGACAGCATCCCGGGCGCATCTAGTTTTTAAAACACTTCAATCGTCTCAGCCACGCAACCATTTACTGCGATAGGGAAAGCGGGAGAGGCGGTCTGGCGATCCTACGCTTTCCTAAGAAACTATTAGAAGCAACCCTTTGTGCCCATTACGAACTGAGAAAATCTGCCTTTCGAGGCTTAACCTCGCCTCGCGGACCAGCGCAGCCCCCCTCCCACGCGAGGGCACGCCCGGGACGCGCCGGGGCGGGGCGGGGCGGGGCGGGCGGGAAGAGGCGCGGAACTCCCGGGTAGTGACCCGTCCCCGCCGCTTCCCGCCCGGGCGCAGCACACCGCGGCCGGCTCCACGTGGACATCCCGGCGCGGACGCCGCCGCCCGCCGCCGCTGCCCCGCGGGCCCTCGGGCGGGGGCGCCGGGCGCCGGGCCGGGGACGCGCGGAGGGCGGCGCGCGCGGCCCGGCGGGGGGCGGGGGCGGGGCCGGCGGTGACGCGCCGCGGGGGAGGGGAAGGGAGCGCGGCTCCACTCACGCGCCGGGGGCGGCACCGGGGCCGTCGCTGCGTCTCTCCCGTTCACAACTGAAAAGGGGGCGGGGTGGGGAGGGGGAAGACCTGGCTCCTCGTTCCGTCCGGAAACCGACGGGCGGCAGGAAATGACGAAGGCAGAGTCGTCCGGGTCCGTTCGGTAACCGGCTCCCGCGCGCCCGGCCCCGACGCCGGGGGGAAGAGCCCCGAGCCGAGCCGCCTGGCCGCGGGCCGCCTCCGGAGCGAGCAGCGTGAGTGGACCCGCGTCCCCGCGCCTCCCGGGCCCGGCGGGCCGCGTCACCGGCCCCGCCCCCCGCCCGCGCGCCGCCGCCCCGCCCCCCGCCCCGGCCGCGCTGGGGAGGAGGCCGGCCGGGTCGGGGGTCGCTGCCGGCGCGCCCCGCGCCCCCTGCCCGGGCCTTCAGGCTCCTGCTACCTGCCGCGCCCGCGCTCGGAGGCTCTCGGGTCGCGGGGAGGTTCCGAGGTCCAGAAACGCCGACCGAGAAGTGGAAGCAGCCGCAAAAATCGGCGGCGCGGGGCGGGCGAGGCGCCGCGGGGTGGTGGGGTGAGCGGGAGGGTGTTGAGGTTGAATCGCGCGCAGCCGGCGAGCGGCGGAAACGCAGGAATTCGCCGGGCGGCCCTGGAGGCTCCTGGCTGCGGCCACTTCCTGGGAGAGGATTAGTTTTTATTCCCATTCGACTGAATGTCTCTCCGGGAGGAGCGGGTCTCCCAAGATTGGGGGCACCGCCGGAGGAGCTCAGGCTTGGGAGCTAGATGTGTGTGACAGTCCTGCCCCTCACTACCTAGTTTGTGTGACTTTGGCCAGGTTACATAACTGCCGCCGCCACCAGCAGCATCCGCATCCTGGTTTCTGTGAAATGGAGAGGTGGTGCCCCCCAGCAGAGTGGTTGTGGAAATTAAATGACTGTGTACACGCTCAGCACTTGAGCCCTCAAATATAAATTGACTCGTTCCTGTGGATTGACAGCCTGTAAGCTTGTGCCCTCCTGCTTCAGCAACATAAACCTTTACTAGATTCTGGAGAGAGACTCTAGAGAAGGAAAATCACGTTATGTAGTGATTGTAAGGAACTCTTGGCGCTGTCAAAGTGATGCTAATCATTTTGCATTAAAATAACAAGACTCTTGGTAAGGGACAAAGTTAATAATATTCAGGGCATGATGACAAGTGATAGCAATTTTAGATTCACCTAGATATGGTAATCCCAAATAAGTAAACTAATTTTAAAACTTAAGATACAGTCACTTGGGCGGGCCTCCCTGGTGGCGCAGCGGGTTAAGTCTCAGCACTGGGAGGCTATCTGCAGCCACTGCAGCAAGAGTTAGATCGCATGAGTTAGATCGCTGCCAGGCAGGTGACCGCTCTTTTCTTGCCCCCTGCTCCCTTCATCAGTGTATTTCAGTAGATCTGCCTGTCCTGCTCCCCACTCTGTCTCTGGTGAATCCTCTCACACACACCCCACCTTTGGCCACACCCTAGCTCTTGAATGCATAAATAAATCACAGTCACTTGCTCTCTAGGAGAGTTCTAGCTTTCCACCTAAAAATTATTAAACTAAAGCTAAACCCTATGTTTTGACAGCTTTATCGCTGAATTCTTATGTTTACTTGGAACCTGATTCAGCACCTCCTACCATCTCCTTACTGAAATAGCTCAAGCATTATTTTACAGGAAAAAATACGCAAGAAAAGATTTATTTTCCCCAGAGATCCCTGAATGACACCCAAGCATGTAACTAGCTAGCTACATGGGTGATCTTGTGAAAGGTTAATTTGCCAGGAATGAACCATGTTAATGTCCCTAGCATTTTGCTTTAGACTCAATAGGAAGACTGGTATGCAGTAAGAGCTCAGCAGTTACATGTGTGTACATTTGGTTAAATTGTGGCATGCAGGGAAGGGGATGATCATAGTTCAGTCTAGACCATGTCTAGGTAAAGACCATAGATTTGTACTGATTCTAGATAAGATCATTCCTTATTCCTGGCAGACTTACAAAGTCATGCCATTGGTCATGATGGAGGTCTAGGCAGGAAAAGCCTACCCTCAGTGCTTATCTTTCACAACTACATCACTAAAAATAACTCAAGTGCAAGACCCTGGAACTGTGAAACAGTCATTGCATACCAGTGATGTTGTATAATATATGCTGTATAATTCACATTAAAATTTTACCATTCTGGGTCAGCAGTAATTTGAAATCCTTCTCTAAATATAATTGCATACTGGCATATTTGTAGCTGGAGGAAGAAAAGTTCCATAGAAATACACCATTTACTGAGTGGTACATGTGAACAGAATTTTGTGAAAAACAAGCATGTTAACCTGGTTCATATCGGTTCTGTAATTAGTAAACAGGTGGAAGGCACTTTCAAAATTTGTCAAATAAATGGCACATGTGAAATATTTTAGCAGCTATTGCTATTTTGTTCCTTGTTTCTCTCCCAATTTGTTCATAACTCAATCCTGAAAATTACCCCCTTGCAGCATAAATGTCCTACTCTTTGTACAGTATCTCAAATCAGACATGTTATCTTTGTGCAAAACACAGTTGTTATCTTACATTTGGGTCCCAACAAACTTCTAGATTATAAATTAGAAGACAACTAAGTTTCTTTTTCCATTTCTAAAGTAAGCTGACTACTTACTATAAATCATAGTGTTACATTCAAAGAAACTCTGGCGTTTGGTTTTAAGAAATAAGAATTGAAACTGAATATGCTAATTCCCCTGTGCCAACCACTCTGTTAAAAAAAAAGTACAAAGCATATATATAGCAAGGTTGTTTTTTTTTTAAAAGATTTATTTATACAAGAACTGGTGTAGAGGCCAGATGTGCAGGTGGGCGAGAGGATTCACCAGAGACAGAGCGGGCAACAGAACAAGCAGACTGACTGAAACACACTGCTGAGGAGCAGTGGGCGAGGCATGAGAGGTCTGCTGTGCCATGTGGGAATCTCCCTGGCCGGGAATCGAACACACACTGCAGAGGCTGCAGACAGCTTCACAGCATTGCGCTCAACTGCCTGCACCACCAGGGAGGCCTGCCTATAGCAAATTTTTAATGCATAGAAATTGGGTCTGGTCTAATGTTAGATCGTGTGTCTTTAAATTTTTATAATTTAAAGTTCTGTTTTATTATTTCTGACTAATTTTTACAAGACCAATCTTTTTCAGACACCAATAGATGTTTTTAAGAAATTCTTAATGAAAGACTTCAAATGTCAAAAACAGGGAAAACATGCCTCCTGGTCTAGAAGCACACCTCTGGGAAAGTGTCATTCGCTCTAAGAGAGAAAACTTACTTTGCCCTTCAGTGCTCGCTTTTTAACTTAAAACCCAAATCTACTCAAAAGAATGTTTTGGAGGCTTAGCGGTTTACGAGGTATTTCAGTGACAGTTCCTGCAATGCCTTCATTGTTGGGGGATATTCAGAAGAAACTGCAAAGCAATTTCTTGAACACTGTAGATACTCTTATCTTGTTAATAGAAAATGAGAGGCTTATTCTTAACAAATATAGTGTGGTTATCACCTATCATATGTTCAGTTTTTCTCCTCTTTATAGAGAAAGTGTGTCTAAAACCACACTTCTGGTTTCTTTCACATATGAGATCATTTTGCTTAGATCTTTTATGTCCGACACAAGGGAGGAAATTTTCTTTAAGGAAAAATCCAATTAACTTCTCAAACAGAAGTTATTACTCTTTTACTTGCTATGTGATACACTTGCTATTACCACTATTCTGTGGGGATGTCCAAAGAATGCATTACCTTGAATAGAAGTCACAGCTGTGTAAATAGCAAAAAGCAACTTTTTATTCCATAGCTTTTGACCAAATTTGGCCAGCAGACCCAAACTAGATAAAACTGGAAACGTTTTCCAGTTGGGCATCATGAGGCATGTGAAAGAGCATTGTTAGGGCTATCATATCTTTTCTAGGCTGCTGTCAAAAGACCAACACTGTTCCCTTATCATCACTGCCAGTTGTTTGGGTCTGTGCTTTAAATAAAGTATTCAATTGCTTTTGTCTGGATGATAGTTACAGTTTGGAAATTGTGCTGTGACATCTCAATCTATATAATTTTAGTATTTATATAACTTTATTATATAATATATTAATATTAATTATATGTTGTATATATAATTTATATAATTTTAGTATTTAAAATTTTTTTTTCAATTCCAAGATTTAACCTTTATGTAAAGGAGCTGTAATGTTTCAAAGTTGAAGATAAGTATGTTACATTCCCCTTATCCAGGGGTTGGCAATTTTAAAGGGCCAGATTTTAAATATTTTAGGCTTTGAATTCTAAGGCAAAAGTCAAAGATATGTAGGTAGTTGCGAGTTCGATCCCCCAGCCGGCCGGGGAGCAACCCACATGGCACAGCAGACCTCTCCTGACTCGCCTGCTGCTCCCCTCAGCAGTGTGTTTTAGTAGATCTGCCTATTCTGCTCCCCACTCTGTCTCTGGTGAATCCACTCACCCCCGACACCTCTGGCCTGTACCCCAGCTCTTGTATGCATAAGTAAATAAATCTTTTTTTAAAAGTGATATTTCCACTGTGCTTAATATTTAAAAAAAAAAAAATGTATCCAGTTAGAAATATAAAATCATTCCTGGCTCTCAGGCCATACAAAAACAGGCAGCAGGATGCAGTGTTTTTGCCACCTTTCTCTACTAACACTAACTAAAAGAAACCGTACTTTGTTTTCTCTCTTTCAGCCTGGAGGTTACGGGGTGATGGGTGACGATAGCTCTATTGATTATAGTGTTCATGAGGCCTGGAACGAAGCCACCAATGTTTACTTGGTAGTGATCCTTGTTAGCTTTGGTCTCTTCATGTATGCCAAAAGGTAAATTTTCTTTATCTCAGAGTATATAAGAAGCTGGGCATGTAAAAGTTTTGCAGGTTGGTTTGTTGTATATTGTTTTTGAATCATTGAATGCACAAAATTTCTCTTAGCGTTAATTTCATCAGCATTTTGTTTCTGTTCTGAAAGCACTGACTATTCTGGTCTCCAGCACTGGACACCAAGGATTGACTTTGAAAACCGCATTGTTTTAAGAGATTAAGATTTAAGTGCAACGCTTGGCACCAGAACCAGCTATTCTAAATTCCCTTTCTATCATTTTTAATATAGTTAAATTTTATCGTCCATCCTTGGATAACTGTCACCCTTGGATGAGCACATTCTTTCACCCATGACCCTGAGATGCAGGAAAAGCCCACTCCTATATGTTCAGCCATTGTCTTTTTGCAAATTTTAAAGCTTTTTCTTCTGTTCCTGGTGCATAGCTTTATTATAGCACTTACTGAACTATGTTGGCGTTATTTGGTTACTTGTCTGTTCATGCCACAAAACTTCAGTCCTGCAAGCACAGGACCTTTAAGCCTTTGTGTTCCTGCTGTGCCACATAGTGTAAATCTTCGATAAATACTACCTGCCATATTTCTAGATGTAGCATAATTTAACTGTCCTGTTCCACACTCCCTGCCTCCTTTCCCTAAAATACCGTTTTAAAAGGGGGGGAAGGGGTGTTGGACTGAGTTGCTTCTGCTTATAACCACATGGTTCAAGGTGCCCTCTACCAGGAGGAAAAGAGGGCATTAAATTGTTCAAAATAATCATTAATTAAAAATAATTGATTTTTGGCCCTGAGAAGAGTTCAGAGCCCCCACACTTGCTCTTAGAAACTCAGGCTTGCCCTTCCCAATCATGTGTCTACTGGAGCAGCTGGGCTCTAGTGGGTGAGAGTGGGATCCATCTATCAGCTCTGGTCTATGTGCAGGTAACAGCTCTCCTCTAAAAATAGCCACCTCCTTCCCACCCCAATGTTTTATGACCTTGTCCTTACTTTTAAGGATAGGTGGTCTTATAACGGCTATGTTATTGTATTTAAGAAATATGTTTATTGTTTACTTTCCAAAATTAAGATGTGTTCACATTCTGTTTATTCTCAAGCCCAGTAACTTTGCAGGAGTACAGTGGAGGCATGCCACTTTGTTATATTAAGTGAATATGCTTAGCTACTTCCTTCATACAGTCCTGTGCACACATACTGCTAATACTTTTTAGTAAAAGGAAGAATACTTGAACCAAGGAAACATCTCACAGATCCAAAAGAGACCATGGACTCATTATCATTAAATCCTTTTAATGTAACTCTAATTACTATGACCATGAGAATATTACAGTCCTATCCATATTGGTACAGATCTTTCTCCTGCTTTGGTTTTGTTTTAGGAATAAGCGGAAAATTATGAGAATATTCAGTGTGCCACCTACAGCAGAAACTTTGTCAGAGCCTAACTTTTATGACACAATAAGCAAAATTCGTTTAAGACAGCAACTGGAAATGTATTCCATTTGTAAGTATATCCTGTGTTCAAACATGTACATAAGCATGTTAAAATAGATTTTTGAGTATTGCGTCCAGTTAGCAAAAAGGTTATCAGAAATAGTTGGCAATGAAAACAGTGTGCCTTTTTATATGCTCAAAACAGTATTTGAAAAGACAGATTTTCCATGAAATTTATGCATCAGGATCTTTTGCTTGTGTGGGACCCTTCCAAGACCCTTGGGAGAACTGTAGCAGAACTATGTGATCATAGTTTTGTAAATTTTGCAAAATTTAGAGATTTTAACAATAAGTTAAGACTGCGGTCTCTTCCTACTCTAATTTCCCCTCTTTTGTATTTCTCTTCATCTAGGGCATTTGGGGGAATCTAGCCAAGGGGAAGTTGAGTTGGAGCTACATTTAGTTTGGGTTCGAATTTTGTATTTGTGGAGTGTTCAGTCACTTCTATTATAATTAATTGCTGTAGGCCAAAGCAGTATAGGAACAGCTCCCAGGAATACAGCATGTGACATAAATATACAAGGTCATGTGTCAATATTAATATGTCCTGTAGTACCAGAGAGCGTGAGTATGTAGATATGGAGAAGAAACAGACTTTAAAAAGTACAGAGCCAGAATGCATTGTACATCTAAGCCATAACTTTTTATGCCACCATTTAAAAGAATGATGCATGGTTTCCATTGTGGCATGAAAGGTTTAGGTGTCATGCTTCATAATTACTATTATGAGGTGAAATAAGCCAGTCACAGAAGAACAAGTATAATTTCACTTATATAAGGTAAATTCATAGAGACAGAAAATAGAAGGTAGGGGAGGCTAGGGGAGGAGTGGATGGGAGTTACTGTTACCGGGTTGTGTTCTGTGGGTGGTGGTAATGGTTGCACAAGATGTGAATGTACTTAATGCCACTGAGCTGTACACATAAAAAATAGTTAACATGGCCAATTTTATGTATATATACCACATTAAAAATATCCTTTAAAAATTTAAATATAGGGCCTCCCCAATGGCGCAGCAGGTTGAGTGCAGTGCTATAAAGCTGTCTGCAGCCTCTGCAGCACAAGTTCAATTCCCCGCCAGCCAGGGAGAGACCCACATTCCGTGGCAGACCCCTCCTGTCTTGCCCGCTGCTCCCCTCAGCAGTGTACTTCCTCAGTTTGCCTGTTCTCTTCTCCACTCTGGCTCTGGTGAATTCTCTCACCCTCCTGCGCTTCTGACTGTACCCAGTGCTTGTATAAATAAATAAATAAATCTTTAAAAAAAAAAAAAAAAGGGAACAAAAATAGATTGTCTTTCAGTTTCCAGAGTCTCGCTGGGCTATAACCAAGGTGTCAGCAGAGCTCCATTTCTTTTTGGAGCTCGAGAGTAGAATCTGTTTCTTTCCTGATCCAGTTCTGGAGGCTACTCACATTCCTTGGTTTGTGACCCCAATCCTCCATTGGAAAGACAGAAGAATTGCAACTTTCTGCTCAGCCCTCTGTATTTATATCTTGCTCTTTTTGTGAACACAGCCAGGAAAGGGTCTCCATTTAATTAGGGTGAGCAAGAGATAATGAAAAATAATTCCTCTCTTCTCAAGATCTTTACCTTAATCACATCTTTAAAGTCCCATTTGCCCTATGAAGTAACATATTCACAGAATGTGGGGTTGAGGATGTGGCTTTCTTTGGATGCCATTCTTGTAAACTAGGTGTGTATGTGTGGATTTGCACATTTAATGAATCCCATCATATTGGTTCATCTCATTCCAACCAAGTCTGGTTGTTCAAGGGGAAATAGCAAACAAAATTCTTTTTCTTAAAGAGGAATCCCAAAGTTGCATAAGCTTTATGCCGCAAAAATTTGGATCCACTATAGAGTAGCTTAAATAAATACTATTTCTTTCTTGGCTAGCAAAAACTTAACCAGGAGATTAAAAGTTTGTTGTTTTTTTTTTTGTTGTTTTGTTTTGTTTTTTTCACATCATTGTTCATTTTTTTTATATAATAAATTTTATTTTTATATTCCCCATACAATTGCAATCCCCTTATTTTGACCCCAATCCCTCCCCTCCTGCCCCTTACCCCCCATAGAGTGTCTCTGGTTCATAGTTTTTTGTTGATTTTGATTTTCACTTTCTTATAGTTATTCATTTTCCTGGTCCCTTATTTAAGTTTTCTAGATTCCTGCTATGAGTGAGACCATCCAGTATTTTTCTTTTTCTTTCTGGCTTATTTCGCTGAGCATGATCTCTTCCAGCGCCATCCATGTTGCTGCAAATTGCATGTGTTTATCTTTTTTAAATGCTGAGTAATATTCCATGGTATATATGTACCACATCTTCTTGATCCAGTCATCTATTTTTGGGCATCTGGGCTGTTTCCAAAGCTTAGCTATTGTAAATAGTGCTGCTATAAACATAGGGGTGCAGGTGCTCTTTGGAATTGATGTTTCTGTGTCCTTTGGGTAAATACCTAGGAGTGGAATTGCTGGATCATATGGAAGCTCTATGCTTAGTAGATCCAGAAATCTCCACACAGCTCTCCATAGTGGTTGGACCAGTTTGCACTCCCACCAACAGTGCAGAAGAGTTCCTTTTTTTCCACACCCTCGCCAGCATTTGTTGTTGCTAGTTTTTTTAATATGTGCCATTCTCACTGGTGTAAGATGGTATCTCATGGTAGTTTTGATTTGCATTTCCCTGGTTACAAGTGATGTTGAACATTTTTTCATATGCCTGTTGGCCATTTGCATTTCCTCTTCAGAGAAGTTTCTTTTTAGCTCTTCTGCCCATTTTTTGACTGGATTATTTTCTTTGTTGTTGTTGAGTCTCATCAGCTCTTTGCAGATTTTTGTGATCAGTCCTTTATCATTAGTGTTGTGTGCAAAAATGTTCTCCAGTTGGAGGGGTTTCTCTTTGTTTTTGTTATTGTCTCTCTTGCTGTGCAGAAGCTCTTTAATTTGATGTAGTCCCAGCTGTTTATCTTTGCCTTCACTATCACTGCTTTGGGTGATGTGTCTGTAAAGATGTCTTTGATGTGCATATCACGTAGTGTTTCGCCTATATTTCCTTCTATGTATTTTATGGTTTCAGATCTTATGTCTAGTTCTTTAATCCATTTTGAGTTGGTTTTTGTGTATGGTGTGAGGTAGTGGTCAAGCTTCATTCTTTTGCCTGTAGCGACCCAGTTTTCCCAGCACCATTTATTGAACAAACTTTCTTTGCTCCAATGCATAGTCTTTGCTCCTTTGTCAAAGATTAGTTGACCATAAATCTGTGGGTTTATTTCTGGATTTTCTATTTGATTCCATTGGTCTGTATGTCTGTTCTTGTTCCAATACCATGCAGTTTTGATGATTATGGCTTTGTAGTATAGTTTGAAGTCTGGGCGTGTGATGCCTCCATTCCCTTCTTTTTTTTTCAGGAGAGCTTTGGCTATTCGGGGTTTTTGGTGATTCCATATGAATTTCATCAATAATTGTTCTATTTCTTTGAAGAATGACATTGAAATTTTGATTGGAATAGCACTGAATCTGTATATCTGTATATTGCTTTTGGAAGGATGGCCATTTTAATAATGTTTATTCTTCCAATCCTTGAGCAGGGGATGTCTTTCCATTTCTTTGTGTCTTCTTCTATTTCTTTTAACAGTGTTTTATAGTTTTCTTTGTATAGGTCCTTTACCTCCTTTGTTAGATTTATTCCCAAATATTTGATTTTTTTTGTTTCGATAATAAAAGGGATGGTTTTTTTAATTTCTTCTTCAGATTTATTGTTTGTGTATAGGAAGGCTACTGATTTTTGCATGTTGATTTTGTATCCTGCCACTTTACTGAACTGATTGATGAGTTGAATTAGTTTTTCTGTGGAGTTTTTAGGGTTCTCTATGTATATTATCATATCATCTGCAAATAGTGATAGTTTGACTTCTTCTTTTCCTATTTGGATTCCTTGGATGTCTTTCTTTTGTCTTATTGCTCTGGCTAGGACTTCCAGTATTATATTGAAAAGCAGTGGTGAGAGTGGACATCCTTGTCTTGTTCCAGATCTTAATGGAATTGCTTTCAGCTTTTCACCATTGAGAATGATACTGGCTGTTGGCTTGTCATAGATGGCCTTTATGATGTTGAGGTATGTTCCTTGTATCCCAAGAATTTCAAGGGCTTTTATCATGAATGGGTGTTGCACTTTGTCGAAAGCTTTCTCAGCATCTACTGATATTATCATATGGTTTTTATATTTCTTTTTGTTGATGTGTTGGATAACGTTGATTGATTTTCGGATGTTGAACTATCCTTGTGTCCCTAGAATGAATCCTACTTGGTCGTGGTGAATTATCAGGAGATTAAAAGTTTTAAAGCTAAGTAGGGAATGATATTCACAAAGAATTCTGTATTTTCTGTAGTTTCATGTTAAGATCACTTCTTCAATAAATATTTAGAAGTACAAAAAGATTATAGAATACATCTCTTTTTCTTCTAATTTATGTTCGTAACAATATTCAATAATAAGTCTCTTAAGTTTATAAGATAAAATATAGTAAAATTACTTATAATGTGGACAACATTACTAACTCATGATGGAAATGGGGATTAAGAAAAGAGGAAATTACAAAGTGTTCATTTAAATTTCTTAATCATTCACCTTATATTTCAAAGCTCTGAGATAATCCTGGTACACAAAAAATAATAAGTAAACATAAAAATGGCTAGCAGCAGTGTTGAGAAATTAGAGGGTAATGAAGTATTTAAAATTTTTCTAAAGGAAAAATAGTTGATTCTAAACTAATTATTTACTGAGAATCATGACTAAGTGTGATTTACTGATTTTGCTAGTAATTATTTTGCTGTTTTATTAATGTTGTCTCTTCTTTTTTCTTATTGTTTAATAGCACGGAAACATGACTATCAGCAGCCACAAAACCAAGTTGACAGTGTTCAACTTTCATTGGAATGAAATCTCAGAAAATGAGCAACTTAAGTATTCTTAAACAGTCCCATAGCAAGCTCTTTATTTTGTGTATTGAATCATGCACTACATTTCTAAAAAGTCCTGAACACTAGGAACTAATGTTGAAAGATACAGGATAACCAGGAGATTGTGATTTTACCTTTTGAAGATCTTTTAATTTCTTCAGGATACAATCAATCAATCATGAATAAAGCACACTTTTGGAAGCAAGAACTCAGTTTATGCCACTTGATTTGAAATTTTTTGCAAAATTTAAAAAACTAGTCATTGAAATAACTTCCTTTTAGATTGTATTCTATGATAAATGCAATGTGGATAGTAGACTTATTTGTTCTTCTTGTTACCACCCTTGAATTGCATAAACTATCTTTGCTTATTCAGAACTAGCACTGTTGACTATGGTCTACATCAAGAAGCATAACCATTGGCTAATTGTGGAGACTTTATGATTGCACTATTTCCCCCTTAATTGTGTTCCCAGGAGTTTTTTGTTTCTTAATCCACAGAAGGGCCATCCTTAGGTCACCCAGAGGCTATGTTGCTGAATAAATGGCACCTCTATATTGATGTTAGCAACCTGCTTTTTGGTTATATGACTGAGTGCTTAACTATCTGGTTACTTGTACTTTTTTAGGATGATTAAGATTCCCAGAAGACTCTCTTGTGTGCGTTTATGCTAAGCAGTGAAATATTTTTACCTAATTTTTCATATTTAAATAGAAGCTATTTTGAGGTAACAGCAGGGAAGTTTAACTATCTAACTATCCAAAAATTTGTTTTTGAATCAGTTATTCTAAATTCAGAGAATTAGTTAATATTTCAGGCATTACTTCTTTTTCCTCTTTATGATTGTGAAGTAAAGAATGTAAATTTTAAATGAAAAGGTTTAGACCAAGTAAAATCATTCAGGAAAATTGCGTTTTCTTTTATCAATTTAATGTATATTTTGTACAAGGTGAATTCTTGTCCAAATGAAATAATTCTTAACTCAGAAATGAGTTTGAGTGTACAGCATTCTATACATAGAATATAAAACTGGCTAAAGGATTATGGTTATGATTAGAGGGTGGGACTAGCAGACTGGCAAGGGGACAGTCCTCTTAAACTTGGCTTTCCTCTGAAGAGAAGCAAAGTATATTTCCATGAGCAGAGGACATAAGCAGGAGCGTGAATGGTTTGCTTGCTGTCACTGATATGGCATAATAAGGACAAATTACAAAAATTGGCCATAAATAAATATAAATTACATTGCAGATGACTATGTCTTGTATCCACTGGAGAGAGATGATCATAACTCAAAATTGGTAGATCTTAGAGTGAGCATCTAACCTTGGCAAGCAAGAGAGAATAAATTCCTCCTCATTTTTTCCTCTAAACTAACTGATGGGAATCATACCGCCTACTGGCAGAAACAACAGCAAGTCCAGCTTTGAAGTTTCTTCACTGCTTCAACAGCTGGCTGGGAAAAAAGGGGTGGAAGCCCTGCAGCCACACTTCAAAGCAACACCAGCTGATTGTCCCGCTTCTGCCCCTGAATCCACTAAGGATTCAACAGAACTGTTTTCTTTGGAAGAAAAATGGAATGACTCACCAAGTGGGAACTAACACTTGTGTTCTCCTTTTCCTTGTTTCTTCTCTTTAATTCAGAAGATATTCAGCAGCAAGCACTGGTCGGCCTCTGTGGGTGCACAGCTTGAGTGTGTTAAATAATTGGATGTTTAGCTGATGCCAGCCAGCTGCATGAAGGGAAGAAGTTAGCTTCCAAAGGGCACAGATGTTTGCTATTGACCTCGTACTGTTTCAGGTGGAGCTATTTATGTGATTCATCAGAAATGCAGAGTTTATAGTAAAATTGCTCTAATGTCAGAAATAAGTTAAATGTTGGGTAGAAATAGATAAAATAGTGGTAATAAAAATAGTTTCAGATATTAAGATAATAATACTCATTTCACTTAGAAAGTATAATTAAAGGGAGAAGAGAGAAAATATTTATGGAGTCAATTCATTCAACAGTTACATGCTCAGCTAACCATGTGTGATCCTTATAGGCTATTCTACTCTAATAACAAAATTAGAAGAGAGAATAGGTATTGGAAACCAAATGGAAATAAGGGCACTTGACTTGCAACCTTGCACTTTGATAAGTCATTGCATTTTTCTTCCAAAGAAAACGTAGGATCAGGGATCAAGGACTAGAGCTCAGTCTTAATATATTTCCCATTTGACTCCCTAATAAAGTCAGAGCTGACTACGCAAAAGCAAGAAAAATATATATTTAAAGCAAGAAAATTTTCTCATTTCTTCTTTTTGTCCCTCTTCAGCTTCCTGTAAATCTATTTGGGTGAGATAACTCTTGAGTGAGGAGTTGAGTGAAGAGAAAGAAGTAAGCTATCACTTAACTCCTATAGCACATATGGAAACAGGAGCAGGAAATCGTTCCCCTGGCTTTGACCTCTCACCCCAAAATAAATGAATGGCATTTAGCAGTGTATTCTGTACTCATGTATTTCCTAGATAATGGTGAAAAACTAAAATATTTATGTAGATAAGTGACATTCCACATTCTAGGTGGGAAGCTGAGAAAAGTCAGGGGAGGCAGTTTGCTCACAGGCTTACTGGTTCTCCCCCATTTTGATACTATGTTCACTTTTTTTTATCTTTGATATTTCTAGCTCCATATTTCTTTCTTCACACTCAAACAACAGAGATCTCACTGTTATGAAAGAGTGACTCCATTGTAGGGATTTTTATGAAAAAATATTTTGACAAATTTCAAACTAGCTGAAGAAATTTGGGGATCTTTAATGACAACCATTGGTGTAAACTTAGTTGTAAGTTTCTTCTGTCTGAAGAAATCTGAATTTCTTGAAAAACTACATGACAAATATAAAGTATTTTTATAAATAAAACATGTTTTTACATTCATTGTTTTGGGACAGGATTGCAAGTGCCTCTGAGTAATATTTTATTTGAGATTTAAAAAACCAGGACCATTCAAGTTGACTACAGCCTAATATAATTCTTACAACTGAAGTGGTTTCTCGCACCTAGTGTAACTATCCTGGTAACTATCCCAACATAAATACTCGGTAAATACTTGTTGAATTAGTTAATTTACTTGAAACAATTTCTAGAATCAATTTTTAATTTTTTTTTAAAGTGTAGGTTCTTCTGGTAATGGGAGAGTAATTGTATCAGACTAAGTCTCTCACAGATAATGAGTTCAGAGCAAAGCATGGCATAACCATAAGCAGACATCACGGTGATGCTTAAAAGAAGGGGAGTGCATTGGATGAGATCTATGTGTATGTTTTACCTGAAGGCATTTCCCATCTACCCGTTGAGAGAGATTAGGCATCAAACAATACTACAATAAAACTGGTTTTAGGTGGCCTCCCCGGTAGCGCAGCGGTTGAGCGCTGGGTTGCGAAGCTGCCCGCAGCCTTTGCAGCGCCAGTTCGATCCCCGGCTGCTCCCCGGCCACCAGAGGAGGGTCCCACATGGCGTGCAGACCTCTCCTGTCGCCCGCTGCTTCCCTCAGCAATGTATCTCAGTCCTTCTGCCTGCTCTGCTCTGGTGAATTCTCTCACCCTCCCGTGCTTCTGACTGTACCCAGTGCCTGTATAAATAAATAAATCTTAAAAAAAAAAACAAAAACACGTTTTAGGAATAGGATATAGTTCAGGGTTTCCAGACAGTCAGGAAAATGAAGAGGACCATCACAAAAAAAAAAGTGAACCACAGAAGTGGAACCCCCAAATCTACATATAAACTCTTAGTCCTTAACTTATTCCTGAACTACAAGATGAAGAGACTCTAAGAAGCCTGGCAAAAAAAAAAATTGGTGAAACTGAAAAAACATAGTGTTTTCAACTGTTGCTCACCATAGGAAGATTTTTTTGAGTCCTACCAAACTGCCTGCTAGAGTAAAAAAGCACTTTTCAGAGGAGGATAATGGAATCCAGAATCTCAACATCATATCACCCACACAATGTCCAATATATAGTTTTTTAAATTGTAGGAATAAGATCAGGAAAATGAGATCCGTGGTCAAGAGAAGAACTAGGACAGTGACCCACAGTGAAGAGAAAAAATAGTTGATATAAACTGACTCCAAGATGACCCAGATGGTGAATTAGTAGGTAAGGGCTTCAATACAGTATTACAAATATGTTTACATAAATGAAGTACTTTCAAATAAATGATAATTGAAAGGCTTTGTCAGAACAGATCTGCTGTATAGGAAATACTAAAGGAAGTTCTTAGGGCCAAGGATAAGAGCAAATAGAAACTCAAATCTAGACATAATATATGACAATTTGGGGAGAGACAATGATAGAAAAAGTAGGGACTTTTACTGAGTGGGGATTAAGAGTATATAGGATTTCTTCTACTATTATAACTTATCTATAACTTGAAATTATTTTTAAGTCATAGTAAAATATTTATAAACCGATTTCTTAGTAAACCAGATTCTTCTGTGTCATACATTCATTAGCAAAACTGAGAAACTGGAGAATTTCCAAAGATATTTTAGACATTATGCTTTTTCCTTCTCTACCTCGCCCCTAAGTATCTAATATCCTACTGTTCTTTATCAAAATCTACTTTCAAGAAAATCTGAAACATTTCCACAAAAATGCAAATGACTGATGATAAAGTGCAGGGCATTCATTTTGCATTTTAACAGCACCTTCAGTTGGAAAGCTAGGAAGTTTCCAGAGTAGTAATTTTAAAGGAATGAGAACCTTTATGATCTTTGAAATCATATCATGTTAACAACTAACTCCACCTATTCACTTGGCAACCACTTCTGATTCTGCCTTTCTCCATTATCTTAGTTTAAACATTAGCAACCAGAATATCACCTCCTCCCTGTGAGAATTATTAAATGCATTTGTAATTCCTTAAAAAATAATATTTCTGCAGCTTTGTATCTGTTTAGGGCACAGTCAACTCTTATTATTTCATTTCTGTGAGATGTGAAAGTAGATAACAGAAAGTGATCTTTCAATTACCATCTAAAAGTGAGCAATGTCTATGACTCTCCTCACCTTGAACTTATGTGATACTGAGAAAGGTGAAGATTACATGGGAAGAAATATCTCCAGGGGCAAACAGATAGAGGTACAAAGGCAGGTATATAAAAACAATTTTTTTTTTTTAAAGATTTATTTATTTATACATACAGGAACTGGAGTGCAGGCCAGAGATGTGGTAGGTAAGAGGATTCACCAGAGACAGAGTGGGGAGCAGAACAGGCAGATCTACTGAAATACACTGCTGAGGGGAGCAGCGGGCAAGGCAAGAGAGGTCTGCTGCGCCATGTGGTTCACCTCCCTGGCCTGGCCTGGGATCGAACTCATGCTGCAGTGGCTGCAGATAGCTTCATAGTGCTGCATTTTAACCACTTGCGCCACCAGGGAGGCCCCTAAAAACAGAATTTCTGACAAACATACAGCAACTCCCTGTACTTATTAGTGTTTTTTGGACTTAGGAATGGTACATTAAAGATACAGAAGTAATAACTGATTTTCTTTTCTCTAACATCAAGTTTTTTCTTTATCCATTGTAGCAACTTACAAATACTAGATGTTTCAACAAATTTTCACTTAATTAAATCATGTTGCGTCTAGTGCTATGGTATTCCAGAAAGCTGTCAGTCCTATGGAATTACCCTATTTAAATAGTTCTCTACTTTTTCCCGAGTGCAACAAAAAACAACAGCAATTTTTACCATTCTTAAAGTTCTTACTGTCAGTCCAGTATACTTTATGAAATTGGTTAAATCCCAACAACATATCATACTTCATTTTATTTTTGTTTTTCAGAGTCTTAAAATAGCAAACACGTATTATCTCAGATCTGAAGAATTCAGGAGCTAGGTGGTTTCAGATCTCTCCTGAGGTTGCAGAGAGGATGTCAGCAGTCAGCTGGGCTACGTTCTGTTGGAAACTAGAGGAGGGACTTCCAAGACGGCACCTCGTGGCTGTGGGCTGGAGGCCCCAGATCCCTGCCACATAGGCTGCATATTTAATACCTTCCAGAAAACAAAAAGAGGAGGCTGGATCTTTCTCCCCCAAAATATTCAAGAACACAGTATACCAGATATTTTTAAGTGTTATAATTTCTAAAATATAATTGTTTTTCAAGAATTTTTTGCTCTTAAGTTTCAAGTCTTCATAACAGTGAAAATGGTTGCATAGAAATTCAAAAAAAGCAAACAAATATTTTAAACTTTTTTGTTACATGTTTGTGCAATATTGTGATTTTTAAATATATATATGTACACAAACAACAGATATGTATATTCATATATACGGTCATTCAGATGACTAAAGTATATATAGTTTTCATCAACAGAGCCTAACTCAGAGTTCCAAAAGTCTTGGAATTTCCTAAGTGTTGAGCATGTTAAAGTGTGTCTTGTTATGTTAATAAAGATAACTTTTGTGTAACACCTGAGGATGGGAGCTGGTTGCCGGGGAAACTCACCTGAAGAAAGAAGTTTCCAGTTCTACCCCTAGACCTCCAACAAAGGAGGGACTGGAGATTGAGTTCAATTATCAATGGGAAATGAATTAATCTGTCATTTCTAAGTTATGAAGCCTTATAAAAAACCCATGTGGGGTTTTTCCAAGAGACTCTAGATTGGTGAACATGAGATTTGAGGAGAAAAGCATCCCTAGAGAGGGCCTGGACACTCTAAGCCTTTCCTCCATACCTTGCCTTCTTCTATTCTTCCAACTAGCTGTTTCTAAATATCCTTTGTTGTTGTTTTTAAAGATTTATTTATGCATACAAGAGAACAAAAAGAGAATTGTTGGACCCTTCAATCTGTACCAGTTGATCAGATGTCCAGGTGAAGCCTGGGTTTGCAATTGGCTTCTGAAGTGGAGGAAACTGAGCCTTTTTTCTATGGAATCTGACCCTATTTCTGGTTAGACAGTGGTAAAACTGAGCTGAATTGAGTTGGCGTCCCAAACATCCTGCTAGTGTCCAAGAATTGCTTGTTGGTGTGGTGAAACATCACACACTCACATTGCAAAATATCAGGACCCTCCCCCCAACCCCAATTCATCTTTCCAAATTAGTTTTGTTTCACCAGTATTTTAATTGGTTTGCAATCTCTTAAGATCATTACACCTGATGATGATGGCCAACAAATACAAAACTATTAGAATTCCAAGTAAAGGAAGCTGGTCCGAGTCTGCTGGAGTTGCAAGCGATCTACAAATTTGCCATTTGGTATTCAGACAATCTTGAGTGGACAGATTCTGTATTCTAAAAGTCATGGCACAGGAGATTGTTTTTACAGAGCAATTTCTCCACCATTATATTCAGATTTAGCAAATTACCACAGTATCACATTTGAATTTCAAGTCACCATCTTCCATGATTCATAATTTTTAAGCAAAATCAACCATGATATCTTGCATATCAGAGAAACATCAATCAATAAAATACTGTTGATTGTGGGCCTCCCCTGGTGGCGCAGCGGTTGAGTGCTGGACTGTGAAGCTGCCCGCAGCCTCAGCAGCGCCAGTTCGATCCCCGGCCGCCAGCAAGGGTCCCACTTGGCGCGACAGACCTCTCCTGCCACGCCCACTACTCCCCTCAGAAGTGTATTTCATCACTCTGCCTGTTCTGTTTCCCACTCTGGCTCTGGTGAATTCTCTCACCCTCCCGCACTTCTGACTGTACCCAGCGCTTGTCTAAATAAATAAATAAATAAATAAATAAATAAATAAATAAATCTTTAAAAAAAAAAAAAACTGTTGATTGAAAGCCAACTATTGTGGGTTCCTATGAGCTGGCTATTAGTTGTCCACTGATGGGCAACTGTGACCTATTTGCTATCTGCATATCACAGCAGAGCATTCCTTGACTACCTACAGAGGATAGCCTGTATGAGAAGGCAGTCCTGGGAACTCCTAGGCCGCTGTCAACCTGATTACGTGACTATCTCTATGGTGGTCTTGGGATAACTCTGCCTGTGATACCATCAAATACTTTGCTGATGCAAATGTCCCTTGACATATGGTCACGATGTCCCCCTTCCCTCTCCATCGTAAAACTTTGTCCCCTATTCCTATTTCACCCTCCAGACTTTATTCCTCATACCATTGTCGCATAATCAGCTTTTACTAGCCTGCATGTCTTCAATAAATGGCACAAGAACTTCTGCTCAAGTAGCAGTCTTGCCTTGCAAACCTGCTCCATGACTGCTGTGTCCCTCATCACGTTCCCACCACAAAGCGGCTACCAGGTTCCTGTCTCAACAAACTATGACTGATGAAATTTGTCAACAGTCCAGACAAAAGAGGTGAACCTGTTTTGGCTAACTACTGATGAACTTTAAGCCCCCTTTTGGGGCTGTCAAGGTTTTTTTCCTTGAGAGTTTTGATCATCAAAGTTAGCTTTCTCTTTTCATCTTGAAGACCTGTGATGTTTTCTACCGAGGACTGGAAATTGGGTTTCAGAAATGCCAGTTCCAAGGACAAATTTCCATTTATCTACAAATTATAAATGAATAAAAGTGCCTGGAAACTTAATCACTCAGCATTTGCTAATTTAATTGCATTCTAATTTTTCCTAAGATTCTATTTGTTCGTAGCTACTTTTCAGGTGACGTACTTAATGGTCTGTGGCCTGTTGCCATGGCAAAATAGAACTAATGACAATCCTTACTTCTGCTAACTTAAAACTAATAAAATACACCCTTTCTTGATTTATAAAAATGAAAAGAACTGTGGCAAGTCTAGTATGCATCAAGATGAGTTAAATATTTTTTAGAAATGCTAGTCCTTAATTACAGCTGTGAAGAAACTGGAGCTGAATTACACATGACAAATGTAGACACTTACTGTTCTGCTAGTTGACAGCTTTGCCTGAAGTCTGACGTTTGCTTTTTTCAAGCTGTTTGAGAGTAAATTTAGCTAGAAATAACTGTGAATGGAGGGGAGTAACTTCATGGTTCTAATCTTTTTCCTTTTGAATTCCATTATGTGCCACTGTTAGCCAATTAATAGGTTCTAATTCATCTTTCTTTCTCCTAAAAAGTTGAAATAAAATTTGAATTTGCTTTAATTTGTTTAAAGTCAGATTTAATACACTCAAAGACAACTCTACATTTCTGTATGTTTCAGAACAATTTTGGAAGCACCAACATAAATAGAAAATGAACTAGGTGAAGGTTAGTTAATAAAACACATATTTTGAAACTTGAATTCCAGCGTTTTCTCTCTGTATAGTATCTGTTTGAATTGAGCCTATTAATAACCTTATGAGGTTTGGATTTTTCCATCTAATATATGGGAACAAAACTCCTTTTACTCCAGGGATAGTCAGATTCTAACTCTGATACAGTAATAGATCAGTTATACTAGATGTTGATTCCAGATATATATCTGGTATAAAGATATCCCACCTGAGCCCCTTGGAAGGCAATATGATGAACTTTGATGATGTTTAATATTCTTTTACTGTGTAACCAATTTAAATACTTTAAAAATTTGAAAGCAAACTCAAACTTAGATGGAGTTACTATTGCCTCCAGGCCTCTAATTTATGTATTTTTTTTAAGATTTATTTATTTATGCATAGAAGAGCTGGGGTACAGGCCAGAGATGCCGGGGGGTGGGGGGGCAGGGGCAGTAAGAGGATTCACCAGACACAGAGTGGGGAACAGAACAGGCAGACTGACCAAAGTACACTGCTGAGGGGAGCAGCAGGCAAGACAGGAGAGGTCTGCTGCACCATGTGGGTTGCTCCCTGGCTGGCCGGGGATCAAACTCGAGCTGCAGAGGCTGTGGATCACTTCATAGTGTGGTGCTCAACCCCTTGCACCACCAGGGAGGCCCCTAATTTATGTATTCTTTTGTTTTCTGTGCAGGTCCAGGAAAAGCAGCCACTTAATGAAAACATACAAAGTACATAAATCAAGCCATCTAAACAAAATTGCCATCTTTCAACACACATAACTCACTTTGAATACATTTTTAAAAATCCATCTTCTATGTTATCCTTCAAGTCATGATAGTATCTCCATTACTCAGATGGAAATGCTGGCACAGGATGCCCAATGTTAAAACCAGAATTAATTTATCTCTTGAGATCCTTTCCGCTCTATATTTTTGGGATGCTCATAATAGAAACAGAATGATTTGGAGTTCTGAGCATTGTTTTCAATAGGAAAAAAAATGCAGTTATTATTGCTGGGGGAGAATGAAGCAAACTGAAATTATCAGCCTATTCAAGTCCCTTTGAGATAACAGAAAATTCAAGCAAATGACACCAGATAAATTTCCCTTACAATTGTTTTTTTTTTTTTAATTGAGGTTAACACTGGTTTACAATACTCTGTATGATTCATTGGTGTTTTTACAATATTTTTAAAGTATCACTCCCAAACACTCAAATATAGAAGATTCTTTTTTTCCCCCCTTCGTATTCATTTGATTATCCCATAGTGTATAAATCACGTCTGGTTTGTACCAGACAAGTTTGGGCCAGCAAAGATTGTAGTGAGTTCACAAAAGCCACTTAACATATTTGGTTGTCATTTAAATTATTACTTTGAATACAAAGGAAGACAAATCCTCCTACTGTGATAGGCAGGTTTAAGTAAACTATCTTACAAACTAAATAAAAAATAACTTTAGTACATTTTGAAAAAGTCATTCTTTCATTGCCAGTCTGCCATAGAATTCTCTGATTTTTTAAAAAAATGTGACCCAAGGTTTCAGTACCCCTTCTCCTGTGCAGCTTTTGTAAGTCATGGAAACGAGCCATGGAGGCCTTCTGCTGAAGTTTGGATGAAGTCTGGTTCGTCCTCCAAAGCACTTATTCTGACACAGTGTAAGTCACAGGGGAAAAAAAAAATGAAGAGACAGAGTCTTAGGGGCACATCAGGGACTTGGGCTAGTTTATTTGCATCAGTTATTGAGTTTCACTTAGGTGACTCAAGAATATCCAAATTGTTTTGGGTTTTTTTTTTTGTTTGCTTGTTTTTAATGCTGTCAGTGACACCGGGGGTGTGGAAGGCTGTAGGCATGTTCTATTGGCAGGTACTGGAGGGGTTTTGGAGGAGCTATGGGCCAAAGAGAGACCT